CTACGATGCATGCCACCGTAGCAATGGAAGAGCACGACTTGTTTCCGCCCCAGGATGGCACGCCTGGCATTCAAAGTGCGTGCGATCTCTGACCATACCCGACAGTTCCTTTGGGCCTGCTGTGCGTGCAGCGTCGGATCCTTGGTGACTTTGACCGTCGTACACACATTGTTGGGCACTGTGCAGAGGTAAAATCATAAATCCCAACTCTCTGGTGCCCCTTTGGCCTGCAAGTCCTTGGCACAGAGCGTCACTAGCGCGTCCACTTGGACGCCGCAGATATGCGCCAGGACATCTCCTGTGCAAGTTTTTCCATACTCAGTGCAAGTTTTTCCATACCCATGCTTGTACTTGCATCCTTGCACTGGGATTGCACTTACACTTGCATCCTTGCACTGGGATTGCACTTACACTTGCATACTTGCCCTTGGATGCTTTATCGATGATACACTTGCCCTTGGTGTTAAACTGGGATACGTATAGACGTGTCAGCGTTCAAGTGTCAGTGTGGAAGCGTAAGTGTTCAAGTGTACGTGTCGAAATGTCAGTGTTCAAGTGCAAGTGTGGAAGTGTCAGTGTGTGAGTGTAAGTGTAGAAGTGTCAGTGTTCAAGAGATTTTCCGGAAGAACCCTTCGCAATGCTTTCGGGAACAAAAGCATCATTTTTCTAAAAATAGACTTACGAGCCATCATAGAATCAAACAAGTTAAACATGCATATTAATAATTACAAAATGACAAGCCAGCATTGCATGATGGCCAAACTCAGCAATTTGTCTAAGATACGAAACCAGCATCAGGTGGATCCATTTTGGGCACCGACTCAAAAGTCTTCTGCTCCATCTCTTCTCCCTCTTCCCCGACGCTGAAAACGAATTATTGTTCTACTTCATGGGATTTGGACTTTGGCACCCCACCACCAGAGCAATGGAATGTACCAGGCGTCATATTTGTAAAAGGTGTGCATTGCTTTCTGCTGGCAAGTGTTTTTCCGGAAAGCATTGCGAAGGGTTCTTCCGGAAAATCTCCTGAACACTGGCACGTCTACACTTACACTTGAACACTGACACTTCTACACTTACACTTGAACACTTACACTTCTACACCTACACTTGAACACTTACACTTCTATACTCACAATGGCACAGAAGTATCCAAGTGAAAGTTTGTAAGTGAAAGTATCCCAGTGTAAGTGTAAGAGTGAAAGCGCCCAAGTGCAAGTATGCAAGTGTAAGTATCCCAGTGCAAGGATGCAAGTGTGAGTATGAAAAAACTTTCACGGGAGATATCCTAATGAAAAGCATTTCCCCACTTTATAAATTCTCTGTAAAGGCGGAGGGTGGGACGAACAGCGTCAACCGAAAATGCAACCCTCTGCGGAGATCGTGCGTGTCGAGTGCGCGAAATGCAGGCGAGAGCGCGATTTAGCCTGGCCGCGCGCAACCCTCTGCGGAGATCGCGCGTGTCGAGTGCGCGAAATGCAGGCGAGAGTGCGATTTGTCCCAGCTCGCTTTTTTCGGTGAGATTTCCTGGAGGCGTGAACGCTGCTTCTCAAGCAATGGACACTCTGAGGTGGATGTAACGTCTCAGCGAGGGTCGGGCTCCCAGACAGAAGAGCTGTGTGCTTTACTATTTCCCTTTACCAGCAGCTCAAACGCTCTCGAAGATGAGCTGAGCTGTCACCGCTTGGCCGCCGGTGGGGGGTTTGGGAGGCCTGGGCGCCACTTGGTTCACTATATCTCGAGTGAAGACCTTCACCATTTGCCCTTACCAGCAGCAGACATAGACACACAAACACAGACAGGGACTCATACACACACATCACACACAGAGACCCACACACTGCCTCAAAGTACTCGGACACACACACACAGACAGGGACTCATACATAGATACACACACAGAGACCCACACACTGCCTCAACTCACTCGACTTAACACTTCACACTGAACACTTAACACATAACTCACACTCTGACATCCTACGTGATGAAAAATGCTTTCGGGCCACTCGTCGTCTAGTTGTTTGTGCGATGTTTGGCTTCGCTGACACTTTTTGGGTGATGGTATTGTTTTGGTCTTGGTTCTCTACTCTTGCCTCCAAAAAGTGCACTGGCTTCTATGGCTCTCTGGGTTTTGATGGCTCTGAGTGTAATTCTCTTGGGAGGGGCGTGCACAAATACAATGGACTTTGGCAGACTCCGTGTTTTGGGAGCCGACATGGTTGCGTCCATGTTGCTGCATTGACCGCAGACTTATGATCGAGGGCTGGGGCCATTTGGTTTTGAGGTGGACCCTATCGTTTTGTGGGGTTTGGTGCACAAACCTGCCCCTCTTCACTGGCTCACACGTCTTCACATGTTTTGACCCTAGCTCACACGTCAAGGTGGGGCACCTCATCACACGAACAGCATGGCATCGCGCCCTGTCCGTCCGATCAAAACCTTTCGACGCCTGACTGGTGCGATGAAAGCAGGGAATGGGGCAAGTCAGGTAAGTTACGGCCCCCAGGACGCTACGAACGGGGCTCCTGGCATCGCTACTAGGCGCGTTCGGACGCTGCGATCGGGGCTGCCGAAATCAGCCTTCCGTTCGGCCACCCCAATATTCAGAGAAGGACAACAAGTGGTTTTGTAGTTAGGACAAAGACCCTTCAATCAATGGTGGGCCAGGAACTTTATAGGACCGAAAAGGGTACTGCACCAGCTCCCCAATAGTGGACGTCACTGCGTCACAACCCACAAAAGCACTTCATGGCCCACAAACACAAAAGCCAACCCAGGACTGCGACACCACTCAGCAGATAAAACATGCCAAGGACATCATGGCCAGCAAAAAACACGGAAGGCACCTGAAGATTTTGATGCCGGACTGAAGTTCACGAACTTAATCATCACTTCTGCGAACTACGTGGATCATGAGATGCGTGGCCAGGTGCTTTGCGAGCGCTTCAAGCAACACACCACTTCAGTGCCTGCAAAGGTCGCTATAGAAGTGGATTCGACTTTTGACTCAAAAGTCCGTCAAAGTCCAAGAAGGGGGGGCTATTTCTCATTCTGGTAGGCTGGTGACAATGCACATCGATTGAAGCTGGCTCCAGCACCGCAGGGCTGGCTCCCTCAAACAAAGGTTCCTGCGCAACAGTGTTCCTTGAAGTCAAAGATCGACTTGCAAAAGTGCCAAGCTCGCCCAACCGACGTCTGCGTCCTACTCTTTCTGAGACTCCCAGTGACGATTAGGCATGTCATCTCCTTGTCCTGCTCCAGCTTTGTGGCCACTGCCATGGGCAGTTTTGTCTGAGAGGCAATGATGGCTGATCTCTGAAGTGTCATAGAGCCTTAAGTCCTGGAACTGTGGTAAGTTGCACTTCTCAAACAGAGGTCTGCCAAAGGCCCTTTGGGCATGGTCTCCAACAACTTTAATGCTTGCCGCCATTGCCCGCCCTTCTCACAGGCACTGACGGCAGCATTGTAAGTGATCACGTTCGGCTGAACTTTCGTCTTGGGCATGCCCTTAAAAATCTTCAATGCTTGCTGCCACTGCCCGCCCTTGTCACAGGCACTAATGGCAGCACTGTAGCTGATCACGTTGGGCTGAACATTTGCCTTGGGTATGGCTTCAAACAGGCTCAATGCTTGCTGCCATTGCCCGCCCTTCTCACAGGCACTGATAGTAGCACTGTAGCTGACCACGTCGGGCTGAACTTTCGCCTTGCCCATGGCCTCAAACAACTTGAATGCTTGCTGCCATTGCCCGCCCTCCTCGCAGGCCGTGATGGCAGCACTGTAGCTGATCACATTGGGCTGAAGTTTTGCATTGGGCATGGCCGCAAACAACTTCAAAGCATGCTGCCATTGCCTGCCCTTCTCACAGGCACTGATGGCAGCACTGAAGCTGATCACATCGGGCTGAACTTTCGCCTTGGGCATGGCCTCAAGAAACCTCAGTGCTTGCTGCCATTGTCCGCCCTTCTCACAGGCATTGGTGGCTGCATTGTAGCTGATCACGTCGGGCTGAACTTTCGCCTTCGGCATGACCTCAAACAACTTCAATGCTTGCTGCCATTGCCCGCCCTTCTCACAGGCACTGATAGCAGCACTGTAGCTGATCAAATCGGGGTGAACTTTGGCCTTGGGCATGGCCTCAAACAACTCCAATGCTTGCTGCCATTGCCCGCCCTTCTCACAGGCACTAATGGCAGCACTGTAGCTGATCACGGTGGGCTGAACTTGCGCCTTTGGCATGGCTTGAATCAACTTCAATGCTTGCTGCCATTGCCCGGCCTTCTCACAGGCACTGATGGCAGCACTGTAGCTGATCACATTAGGCTGCACCTTTGCCTTGGGCATGGCATCAAGAAACCTCAATGCTTGCTGCAATTGCCCACCCTTCTCACAGGCACTGATGACAGCATTGTAGCTGATCACGCTTGGCTGGACTTCCCTGGTGGGCATGGCCTCAAACAACTTCAATGCTTGCTGCCATTGCCCACCCTTTTCACAGGCAGTGATTGCAGCATTGTAGCTGATCACGCTGGGTTGAACTTGCGCTGTAAGTATGGCCTCAAACAACCTCAATGCTTGTTGCCATTGCCCGCCCTTCGCACAGGCACTGATGGCAGCATTGTAGCTGATCACGCTTGGCAAAACTTTTGCCTTACGCATGACCTCAAGCAACTCCAAGCCTTGCTGCCATTGCCCGCCCTTCTCACAGGCACTCATGGCAGCACTGTAGCTGATCACGTTGGGCTGAACATTCACCTTGCGCATGGCCTTTAACAACTTCAATGCTTGCTGCCATTGCCCGCCCTTCTCACAGGCACTGATGGCAGCACTGTGACTGATCACGTTGGGCTGAACTTTCGCCTTGGGCATGCCCTCAAACAACTTCAAGGCTTGCTGCCAAGCTTTTGCCCTGGCACAGATGGATATTCCAACTGTGAAATTTGACTCAGTTAGCTCTATGCTACCATCTGCCAGGATTGTCTCCAATGTAGCATACACTAGTTTCGCTGCTCCCGTTGGCTGGCACAACGCCCGCAAGACAGGCCCAAAAATGGTCTTCGATCGCCGCACTTCTGGTAGCAAAATTGTTTTAAGAGAGTCTTCAAGATTTCCTGAGTCTCGTTTCGGCAAGCGTGAAAACATGTTTGTGGAGCATTGTTGTTGTCACATCCAAGGGGCATGGCAGGGAGATCGTCCCAAGCAAACTCGTCCGCTCCAACGTTCAAGTAAGCCTCGTCCACCAACAAACACTAACACCAGTAATATCGGGTGGTTTCTCTGCCGGTGCTGTTTTTACAGGTTTTTGGCCATGTCCAAAACAACACGATTCAAACCATCCAGGTTTCCTTGAGTCACCGCTTGGCACAGTATCTGCACCAATCCATCCGCCACTTCAGAATCGATTGATATCTTTCTGCGGTCTTTGGACCTGGAGGCGGAACAGGATCTCAAACACTCCGACCCCCTCCAGTGGATAAGTAAATACTTTCATTTGGAAACAACCAAAAGATATATCTTTATACATACAACTGTTTCCAGGTAACTTCTGCTTTCTAGTTAGGGGAGTTGTCATGTGCTCTGTATTCCGCAGCAAACAAACCCTCATTGCAGTAGAAACAAAACACACTATCTTGAATCTTCAACCCGGAAATGTTCAAATTGACTTTAACTCTCGCGGTGAACAAAGTCCCACCTCATTCCCACCTCGCTGATCTCGCTTCTCGAACTCGTCTCAAACTCCTTTGCAGGATCTGCTTCGACTGCTCTCGAAGGCGAGCCAGGCCCAGCACCACAAGGAGGCCAGCAAAAGGTGGTCCAGGCTGCGGCGGTGAAGCCCCGGGCGGGTGGTTGCACTGAAGAGACCATCTTTCACTCCTGATATTTTTGGGCAAATTATCTTTGCAAATCGGCCAAGTATGCAAGATGCCCTGCAGAACTTCTGTAGGTTGGCAGGATTCTCAGCGGAAACAGAGTTGAACTGCAACAAAACCTATAGATGTCACTCGGGAAAGCTCACCCGCAGCTCCTTCATCATACAGCAATACATCAGTGTAGCACATGTGCCCACATATGCGCAAGCATGACACCAAGACCGCAGCAGGGAAAAAACAGAAAACCTCATCCCGAGCCTGCTTTGGAGCCCGCTAGCAAGTTAGCATGACAGCCTGACAATTTGTTGGCACGACACCACGCCAGCACTTCAGCGCGACAACGCGAGCCAAGTCAAAAAAATTACACATCTGCATACACACCACACCGCGCCTCAAGAGCGTGAGATGTTAGCAGGTTTAAAAACTTCATGGCAGCCCGACAGCAGGCCGACATCAATGATGTGTCAGCGCCGCAGTGGCAACATTATCATAGCCGTGCCCCATCATATCTGCAAAGCGCTGTGGTGCTTGTGGGAAGCGGCCCCCACACTGCGGAACCTTCTCGAACTTGCTCCGAACTTGTGACCTCTCGGAACATGCTCGGAGGCTCCAGAACCTGCTCAGACACTTGCTCTGGAACCTGCTCCAGAAAGCTTGCCCCGGAACCTGCTTTCAATCTTGCTGCAGAACATGCTCCGGAACGGACTAAGGAACCCTGCTCCAGGATCTGCTCCCGAAACTGCTCCGAGGTCTTTACTATGGCTGAAGACCCCTAAGCTTCGCTGCTGGGGAAAAACACAGCACAACAACTAAAGTGCTCCTTCCTTTCAATCCTTCCGAATCGGACCCAAACCACATGGAAGCATCATGTCATAAAGCATATAGCCAGCAAAAATCAAATCACATCAGCCAACCCCAGACCTTCCATCGGAATGGTTACATAGCTTTTAATCTCTTTCTTGCCCATCCATGGTGGCATAACTCCTAATCAGTCCCAATCCATCGGTACCATGCCAGTTGTGAACACCTTAATACCTGAAAGACCGGAGCGCTTCCCTTACACATCCACTTCTTAGATTTCAGTGAGCAACTCCCCCCAATCTCCAACCCCAAACAGTGACCTGACCTGCAGATGATCCACGTATATAAAAACCAGGCCTCCCAGGCTTCAAGTCCTCCTCCTCTGCTAGCCACTTCCAACTGTCCACGGGGCGTGACCGGCCGCTTCGGCAGTGCGGCACCGTGGTGAAGGGATCCATGGCGAGGCGCCGCAGCGAAGGAGGATCTTTCTTGGGCCAACGAAAGGAGGAGCACTCAACAGTTCAGGTGAAGGGATGGTGCACTTGGACACCAAAACACACCGCTCCAGCCATCAGCATCCTCATCTGCCTCCCTTCTGTTTGAGGTTTGCAAAGCAACACTCAAGTTCAGAGCGCGTCCACGAAGCAAGGACATATGGGGCTGGGTTCCAAAAGGCCAAGGAAGGAGAAGGGATTGTCGGGGAGCGCGCTAGTGGACGAAGTCAGACTGTATGACTCGGTGGAAGCGTGCTATTAACTCGACGACCCCCCTGCAACACTGCGGTCCACGGTTTGATGGGCGAGTGGCTTTTGAGTGCTTTAGACTTTGAGAGTTCACACAAGACACTCAAAGATCTCGCTTGGATCCCCTGTTTCTTAATTTTGGTATCGATCCACCCAGCCGTTTCGATCAAGGTGACTCATAGATCGGTCAAGTCGAGTGGTCAATTGATTCGAAGAAGAAGGTCTTCCGCTTCGAGCTGTTGACTTGACCCACCCAAACGGACCATCGATGGGTCGTCCACCACCATTGTCCCTTCGACCCGACCCGACCCGCTCTGCCGGCGGCTGCAACGGTGTGGGTCGTCCACCACGACGGGACGATCGAAGCAACGACGCGAGACGGGCGAGGCCCTGGGCTTTTCAGACCGATGACGGGCGAGGCCCACCGTTTACAACGGGGTGAACATGTGTGATCGCATGGTTCAGGTGTCACATCTTTCGCAAAGGAATCTCGGGGTTGTTCCCGGGAACAATCAAGGCAGAGAATGAGGTAGGTTTTGCCCCCAAAAGAGAGATTAGCCTTCCGTTCGACTTTTAAATACATGAAGAGAAAGGTTGAGCAGTTTGGTCGACCGAAAAGGCACCCTTCCATCAACGGTTGGCCAGGAACCCTAGGTAGGGTACTGTCTTCACAGGCTTTCTAACAGTGGACGTCACTGCGACACTACTCAGGAAACAAAACAGATTGCAACGACATCATGGCCACAAAAGACCAAAGCCCATCAAAGTAGGGGGTCTACTTCTGATTCTCGTAAACCGCACAGGGCTGGCAAGTCTGCCTCCCTCAGACAAACTTGAATTGCTCCTTGGTTCTTGGGCAATACCGCTGCTTGAAGACCGAGATCCTCTTGCAAGAGTTTCAAGCTCGCCTTTTGCACGTCTGCAGTGTTCCACTCTTTCCGGGATTTGCCATACCCAGTGACAATCAGGCATGTCAACTCCTTCTCCTGCTCCAGCTTTGTGGCCACTGCAGTGGAGAGCAAGTGACACAGCACAACACGGGCAGTTCCCTCAGAGAGGCAATGAAGGTGAATTAATCTCTGAAGTGTCACAAACCCGTAATTCCAGCATCTCTGGTAAGTTCCACTTCTCAAACAAAGTTCCGGCAATGGCATTGTCCCGACTTTCAGCACAATCAAACAGGGCATTGGAACTTACCGAGGGTGGCAGTGGATTTGACTCGGACACGGCCTCAAACAAGTTCAATGCTTGCCGCCATTGCCCGCCCTTCTCGCAGGTACTGATGGCAGGATTGCCGCCGATTGTCCGCCCTTCTCACATGCACTGATGGCAGCATTGTAGCTGGTCACGCTGGGCTGAACTTTTGCCCTGGGCATGGCCTCAAACAATTTCAACGTTTGCTGCCATTGCCCGCCCTTCTCACAGGCAGTGATGGCAGTACTGTAGCTGATCACGTTGGGCTCAACTTTCGCAGTAGGCATAGCCTTAAACAACTTAAGTGCTTGCTGCCATTGCCCGCCCTTCTCACAGGCACT